GGCCGTCTGCAGGAGTACGTCATGTAACGCAAAACGCCTTCGAGGGCAGATTTCACGGTGCGTTGCACTGCTCCCCTTGCTCATAGTTGCCTAGAGGGCCATTTGGCAAGGCTACCGCTCTATGATATCGTATCAGCTCCAGTGCGAAACGCACCTCTCATCATTTTCTTCGTTAGAGTCTCCTCTCAGTGATTACGAACACGTTCCAAAAGCTCATACTTCTTATATGCTGCCAAATGACCATAACAGCATGTTCCTAGGCCGGAGTAGGTCATATACATAACTCTTGCAAAACAGGATGTCTCTGAGGATCGCGTCTTTTCCTCTAAGCTCTTATTTGCTTATGGAACCATTTCATCAGACCAAGGCGGCATGCTATATGGGCACCTTCAGTGCCAGATACCAGATTCTCGCCCCTAGGCAACTAGGAGTCCCCTTCGCGAACTATTGCCGTGACAACTCATCAGTGTTCTTCCAGGTGAACGGATTCAGAGAAACGAAGCGTTTCGTGCGATTTCGATTTTCGATCACGTCCAAATAGCACTGACGAGTGTTCGACACCGACTCTTTCAATCGATTAGAGCAGGCTCCTGCACCACCTCAGCCAGAGGCCTCAGATTATAGTTAGATAAAGCTTCCATAATTACCATTTTTTCGAAGAATAGCCGTCACCAGTTGGGTGTATTTGCCTTAATGAAAAAATCTTTTAGCTCTAATACTACGGAAACTTAAAGGAACGATTTGAGGTAGTATTCACTCATCCGTTACCCGTTTTCCGACTTGACCTCATTATAGGTATGTCAGCGCTCCTCCAGTTTTCTTCCTTCTTTCTGTCTTCTTTCAGCCTCTGCCGCTGACCAAGTAATTTGACAATCAGATCATGCCAGTTAGTTCTTGGACGACCGACAAAACGCTACTGGTGAAGCGCAACCCATGTTGTAATTCTTTACTTGGCTTAATAGGAGACAAAAATCACATATGTTAATCCAGTCGGTTGTCAGAACGTGACCTCGGACGGATATCTTGCATATTTTCCCTTCATCGGCCCTTGCGTGGCCATCAGTTTGTTCTCCTCGGCTTTACTGGCAGACGAGTCGTAGACGATGTAGGGTAGGGCGACTGAATCGAAGAGTAACTCCTCCCCCCTCCCCACTCCGCCGCAGACCGATTACTCTCGAGCAATGACGTTTTAATACAGTTAAAGCTGGCCGATGCCGCCTTCGTTTTTCTGCACATTTTGCCGTCTAACAAGTTCTTGCAGTCCAACTGACGGCTGGCTGTTGACTTCTTCGAGTTCTTCGCCATTTCCATTGATACAATACTCAGCATTCGCATCCATTTGGAGTTGGAGAGGTTCACCTGGAAACCGATCGTGCGAAAATCTTCTTGCAAGAGTACTGGATCTTCTGTAGGAGCTCTGTCGTGTCCCGTGCAAAGACAATGCAGTCGCCTGAAAGTAACAAGTGAGTCAGACGCTCTGCACCGGTATTCATGCCTTGCACCAGTTTAGCTTGTTAAACAGCGACCGAAGGCCGGGACGGAGAGTGCCGGTGAGACGGTATCCCACTGACGATCTCCTCCGTGGACAGTGGAGAATGATGCGACAAGGTTCGTCGAACAGCTTCATGCCAGTCGTGCAACCGGTGTTCAGTTAGTCGATCAGATTGATGGAAAGGGGGACTGTGACATGTTCATGCAAGACGTTTGCCACAACGATCAATTCCACCGAATCGAACGCTTTCCTGCGGTCGACCGAAGCAAAACAGTGGCACTTGATATTCGTTGTGTACTGTTCTGTCAAATGCTGGATGATCTGAATATGGTCGATGGTAGAAAACCCTGTTAAAAAGCGACCTTCTTCGTACTTGAGAAAGATGCAGATGCAGACTTTGTAGATTTGCAAAACGAGGGTAATTGGTCGATAGACGTTGAGGTGTTCTGAGTCGTCTTTCTCCATGGAAAGAATCGCTCCTGATGTCTTCCACACTTTAGGCATTTTGTTTTGATTGATATATTCCGCAAAACTGTTGACAAGCTTATTAAACAGGACTGTTTCTCCAGCTATGAGGTGTTCTGACCTTATGCCATCTTTGCCTAAATATCTGAAATTTCAGATGTTTCCGACTGTCCACTCAACTTCGTCCCAAAGTACTTCCGGGACGGTTTCTGAGGCAAATTCCGATTTCCGACTACTGTGAAAGAAGTGCAGACTGTTGTAGATCGCAATGACTAGTTCTTGCTCCGCCTTTTTCTTCCAGGGCATTTAGACGAATATCTCGTTCTGTGGCTTATAGGCTTTGTTTCCTCTGCATGATCGAATTCTACAGTAATTTTCGTAGTCTTTTCTCAACTTCTTTCTATTCCATCTCTTTGCACAGTCTAGGGTACACGTTGAGCATTTTTACTACGGTCTTTAGTTCGGCTCTTATAGTCATTAACTGCCTTGCTGAGTGGTTGATTCACTGACGTTTCGTTCACTTTGCTATCCGGCTTGATTTTCAGCGGCAGTCTTCATGGCATTGACGAAATGGTCATAATTTCCTTCTGTACCATTGCTGATGTTCATTTCATGGTTCGTTAATGGCAACATCCCTGAGGAAGCCTTTGGGTCGAATCACACTGTTTCACAAAAGGACAATAGGGTAATATTTGCGTTTCTTTGATTCGTTCTACATTTGCGACCTCAATCGTAACTGTGCAACGCAGACGTTGATGGTCTGAGTCTGACTCTGTACAGATGATATTAACTCACGTGACCGATACATTTGATGTTATTCCGTTCGACAGTCAGTACATCGCCTGTTTGGTTCAAAACCTTTCCGCCTGGGATTCTACATGCCTACTGTCTCTTCCTGGAAAATGGTGTCCATGACCTGGAAGTGGTTCCTTCCAGCGAAGGTCGTGAAGCGCTCTCCAACTTCGGTTCTTTAGCCTTTACCGTATTTGCTCATGAATGCCTCATGGTGGTTCATTCTTTTCCGTACCACTGCGTTGAAGTCTCCAATGCGCTTTCCGGCTTCTCGTGGAATTTCCCCATCTCTTCGTCTTCAGCTTGTTGGGTTGGGCAGCAAACGTAGATTTTTTATCGCTTTTCTTTTGTCCATCTGTAGAAGTAGAAGTGATGTAATAACACATATCAGCTCAAACGGCAGAGCGTTCCTTTTTATTACTGCCGACCCAACATCGCCGGTCGATGTTTACTTTTCGGAGGTGTTCCCGAGCAACCCTTGGTTACCGTTGTTCTACTATGCAACAGTTTTGGTAGATCTACGGATCTTAAATAATCTAATGACGTTTGTCTTGATGTTCTCTGTTACGTGCACGTCGTTTAATGCGTCTGTCGACAGCGTTCTCGCACTATGGCTAGCCATAATGAAACGATGGGCCTGACCACGGCCCGGACCCGTTCAACAATCATGTCGTTTGGTTTACCAAGTCGCAGGTGTTGCTCAGACCGACGCAGCTACCTGCACATAATTTCCCGGTATCCATTTATCTTTGAGCAATTTTTGGCAAATATCTGTTTGGCAGTTAACTGAGGGTGTGTCAGCCCTCGTGAACTATTGACAATCTCTCTCCCCCACCTCAAGCTTCCGGATTCAGAGGAGCAGAGCACTCTGTAAGGATTCGATCGCGGGAAGATATGATTGCGAATGGAGGGAGGTGCTACCACCCCAACCTACCGGAGAGGGCTCTAGCACCACTTCCAGGACCTCATGCAGCACTACTCATTCATGTGACAATTATTTAATAGATCATTCTTAGTGAAGGTTCTCCGTCAATACAGTCAGTAACGTCCGCAGGCAATAGCCATCTGCTGGAGAAGGCAAACTTCCGGCCGTTAAAATAAAACAGAGTCTCATATCTGCTACGACTATAAAGTGTAGGCTTCGTTCCAAAATCAACGACCGCCGATATCTCTAACGAAGAACATATGCCAGCCGGTGGAGTAATTAAAGGGGGCACTCAAGACGTAATAAAAACGTCAATGTCAAATAACTGCACCTTGTCATCCACTGCAATTACCCGCTGAATTTATAGCTTTTTAAAAGTGAGTCACACAGAAGAAAAATAATACATGCGCTAGCTTAATATGAATGATACCATTATGAAAATGAACCAAACGCGACCAAGTTGTGCTGACAAAACCGCTGTCGATATTTTGAGCTAAAAGCTGTACTGCTAAAAGTAACTCCAATGGTAGTGGTAGACTAGAAATGCCAATAAAACTGAAGTAAATAAGCAAGGCCATGAACTAGTCACGACATGAATATGCACATAACCATGATAAGCGCAAGTGCCCTCATAAAATTAAGGAACAGACAGCCATTACCAGACTCAATCGAGTAGCGGAACGGTCAGAAACAAAGCATTTTAGAATGACGAGTAGGGAGTATAGATGGGTTCAAATAATATCCTGCCGTAATGTTTAGAAAATTTAGAATAAGCAGGCCTTGAGCGGCGTAAGTGGCCAACGTAATGGAACCCGTCTTGGTGAGCTAATTGTAGTAATATTCAAAATTAATTTAGTTCTTTTTTCGATCAATGATTTCAGATATAAAAATATGCTAAATTTAATCTACTACGCACTTCTCCAAGACGAAACCCATAAAATGATCGAATTAATAAAAATGCTAATGATCTTCAGCCTTCAGTACCCTTGGCGAACTTGACTCCGTCCTCTAACGACATAGTGACGTGATGGCATAGTATGTAAGAGGTCGGCTTCGAACTCTGGGGGTGCCAGAGAGCAGGAGAGCAATCGTGATCGTAATCAAGAACTGCTTGAACGAAGATTCTAGAAGAGGCTGCTTCCGACCGGGGTTGCTCAGTCAGTGGAGCGTGGGACTCAGAACCAAAAGGTCTTGTGTTCGAGCCCGGTCGGGTAATTCGCTTTTTTCCCTTTGAGGTTGATAAATGAGTAACATTCTGTGGGAAACAAACAGGAGACTATACGCTATGTTTGCCGCATAGCTGCTGTCGAATCTGCATTTACTAAAATAAGGCACTTCTGATTGATAGCATGGAAATACAGATCAGCTACTGATATTGACTTCTTGATAAGAAGGGCGCCAGAAATGATTCCATCGTTGAACTGTAAAGGGGACCCATATTTCATCGCTTGCAAACTTTCCTTTTGAGTTTATGGGTTGAATCTAACTCCAAACCTGGCAACTGTTCCCTTATGATATTATACTGTCGTTTTGTTGCATAAGCTGTACATAAAGCAAGGAGTCGTAGGCAGTTGTTACAGTTTGATGTGTTTCAGGTTGATCAGGGGTCGAAACGGTGAATAAAATGGAATCATCCAAAATGGCCGTCAACGCAAAACCACTTGATGCTAAAAATGGCATGATCGAAGCCGAGTTGAACGACGATGACGAGGAGGAAGAAGAAGAGGAGGAGGAGGACGAGTCATTCGTGACGTCACTGAAGCATCGCATCGTGATTCTTGCGCCAGAGAAAAAGACCGACATCGTAAGCTCTGTATCCTCTTCCGAAGCAGACGTGGCTGTTTGTGCAGGTGAACAGCGATCGTTGACTGGAGTCAAAGCGACTGGACAGCTAATGTTAGAAGGGATGAAGGTAGAGCAGTCGAAATCGAGCGTGCAGCAAAGCGCTACGCAAACCAGGATCGTAACTTCCAGCATGTCCTCCAAAAGCGAACAAGGACAGGCGCAAGACA